TTCCTGATTATCTTGCAACATGTATAACAAGTGTTGTGTTCCAACTTGTGCTAGTAGACGAAAGGACTTCAGATTTCATATGTTTCCAAAATGTGAGATCATTCTTCTCCCCTGTCTCCATAAAGTTGGTTGTGGTCAAGTCATTTTTTTTTAAATTAAATTAAATGATCACGCAATCGACAGAATTATAAATGTCAAAGAGTTGAAAACTTCGTACGCGATTGTACTCCAGGGCCGCGCGGTGAGTGCGCGGGTAGCGAGGGACAGAGTGCGACTGAGTGGGGTCTAGCACCGCCACGTTGCTATGGTTACGCGCGGCCCCTCGCGGTGCACCTCATACCGCACTTCAATTGAGACCCGAAAATGTGTTACTGCGCATACAAGGTCATAGTTCAACTTACGTGCCGCGATTTATACTTTGATGAAGTGTATGACACACACGAACCTAGACATGAAATAATATTGTCATTAACTGTCCGCTGGGTTAAGCTGTTTTCAGAATCTGTTTCTGAATCAGAAATCAGAAAAGAAGAAAGAAAAGCAATACTGCAAAGCATTAGCACATTGTTAAGAATTTTGTGAACAAAACGCACGTCCGCATTTAAGCTAACATTTAAGTGTGTATATATATATACTATAGAGCGGGCATTGGGAATATTTATATACAAAAACTTTGAGCTAGTGCGCGTGTGGCGCCCTCTAGCTAAAAATAGCAAAACAACGCTAAGCATTTATTAAGACAGTATTTTAGCTATTCAATAGTAGGTGACGTTAATAAATATAACGTTGTTTTAGGAATGTTACCGTTTCGATATCAAAGTATCGATAATGTTGTTGAAGGTTACTAAGTTTGAAATGCTTTTCGATATAATAATAGGGAATATACATGATTGTTTTACTGTATTAATCATGTCAATATCATGACTTCCATCACACGTAAAATATCATATTAACTTTTTACGCCCGTTTAAGGTCATGAAAAAAAAATTTAATTTCCAATAACTAAGAATCAATTCCAACAGGAGTCACTTTGGTTGCCACCTTGATGGCATCTTGGATGACGTCACTCGGTCCACTAGCTGCTATAATAATAGCATATGATTGATCGGTCGGCGTTAAAGATGACAATAAGAACTTAAAAGCCATTTCACGGTTTTTCACGTTTCATCGGCTGCAGTACTTAACGACACTACCCACATCAATAAAAACTGTTGTTTTAAGTTTTTATTTTATTTTCTAACTCGGACTTAACCTACAACTTCTTGCATCTAATATATTTAACAGTACAAATTGTTTTTAATGTAACAAACCTATAGCCCTCTCCAATCACTGTAAGCCAGGATCTATAATAGCGTTTTCCTTGAAAACCACCAAACAATGAAGCCCGGTGTAAAACCACCAGACAATGAAGCCCGGTGTAAAACCACCAGACAATGAAGCCTGGTATGTAAAAGAGAAGACTTGCTGTATTGCTAAACATCAACACAGCAAGTATCCTCAGCATGCTCATAAGCAACACAGACAATCTAATCAGCATGCCTAAAAAAAATTCCTACCCTTGCTCCACATAAAGTAGGCTACTTAGCATAGTTGGTATATGCTACTCATTTTTGTTGGCACGGGTACAGTATCGTTGACTGTTTCACCTCCTTAAATATTGTAAAGGATTAAATCGGCATCCTTTATATTTTCATCGATAACCCCAAACGATAATCTTCGTCAATCACTAACTTTAACATTGGTAACTAAATAGCGACGTTTACTGGATAACAGAGGGCGCTCATTACAATAAAAATAAATGTTCTAGAACAATCTACTAGAAATAATAAAAGTTAAAGATAATTCGGTAAATATATGTTATACTTACGATAAAAAACCGAAATCACGTTGATTTTTTGCTCCATATCGTGACTTACAATATCTTAATGCACAACCGGGCATATTTTCTTTAAAAAATTTTTTTGAAATATATAAATCTATTACTACGAGTACTACTACTTAAATGTCTTTGGGTCATTTCGTTATAATATGTACTACGTACTAGAGAAGCCTTTCTAAACAAAAAATGTGTACTACTACTACTCTATGTCTTTGCGCATGCGCGGGAGATAGTAAAGTTGCGCCTGCGCGGTGAGTTTATATAAAGAAATATATTTTTTCTTGATTTTTTTCTTTTGTAATATTACGATATTATTCACTTGAACAACAAATAAATTTACTTACTTGACTACTAAATTGTTATTTACATCCAGGCTTAAACTTTAATTTGAAATCTTGTATTATAAGCGCCGCTCCACACTGCATGAATATTGAAAGCACAGCACAGAACACAACCCACAGACATACAATTGTAAGTTGGCCAACTATCGAACGACTAAATTGCGTACATACTTTTGTAATTTAATCGACCAACTTTCTTTTATTGGTTACCAGCCGCAGACTTAATCGATTTTTTTTTTGGAGTTTATGGCCTATCTTGACCTGGTATCTAGACCTTTAGGCCAAGTCTTAAGTATTTTTATTCGGTTTATTGTAATTTCCCCACTCCTTCATAGTATACTGCTTCACAATATGTTGATGCGTCACATTGTGCAGTTCTTGGGAGATTTTGGCGGCAACTTGATCCAGCAGACAGCTGATAGTTGGCGATGGTATCTAAAGGTGCCTATGCAAACAAACAGCTTATCTTGAGAATCCATCACCATCAGAGCACTTGTTTCACTGTTTCCACTAATAGTTCACATGCGTAGACACTTAATACACAAAATCGCAACACTTTTACATATCAAAGTCCACTTCAAACCATTATTTAAACAATAATACAGGAGCAGCAAACCGCCGCCGGTCAATTTCCCGCCAAAACTCACTTAATCGATTTAGTCCGTGACAGTGTGGCTAGCGCAGTGCGTGTGCGTGATAATGCGAAAAAAAAAAACGCTCTAATTACATTAATAATTAAAAGAAGACGAAAACAAAACAGAACATTTTGGGTGCATCCTTTTTGAAAAGAACTTTTTTGTACAACGCTGGCCTTTTTTGCATTTTTTCTATGAGCTCTTCTACTATTTCGTTTGCAACAAGTGATCGGGTGGCAGATGTCGCACCCGTCGGCGAAAGCCCAAGTTCGAGCTTGGGGAAATTACGTGCGCGTGTCGGTTCGTCTTGCATGTTGCCATGCGATTAACCAACAAAGTTGGATAGCAAGCTTACATAGGGTAACCGTGCTAACGAGCAGTTGGCCGATAGTTGGACAACTCTTTAATTGTGCGTAATCGGAAGGGAATCTTGATTCTGATACGATCGGTGTCCAATTAATAAGTTGGACGATTTAGTTGGACAAGATGTTTAGGCTAGCATATGTCACTATACCTATTGGTATACTCTGCGATTTAGTCGGCCAACTTATAATTGTAAATCTGCGGTCTCTCTTACGCACAATTAAAAAGTTGTCCAACTATCGGCCAACTGCTCGTTAGCACGGTTACCCTATGCAAGCTCGCGGACTATCCAACTTTGTCGGTTAGTCGCACGGCAACATGCAAGACGAACCGACGCGCGCGGGTGATTTCCCCACGTTCGGACTTGGGTCTTCGCCGCTGAGTGCGACATCTGCCACCCGATCACTTGTTGCAAACGAAAAAGTAGAAGAACTCATAGATGAAATGATATACGAGCTCATCAAAAGACGAAATACTCATTCTGTAGAATAAAAAAAATTATCTGGGTAACATCTGAGTTTAGAGTGCAAGGTATGATGTTTACCATATTCTAATCTATCACTTAATATAGGATGCACCCAAAATTCTTCTTTTTATTATTACTGCAATTAGAGCGTTTTTTTCCGCATTATCACTTACACGCACCGCGCTAGCAACACTGTTACAGACTAAATTGATTAAGTCTGCGGCTGGTAACCAATAAAAGAAAGTTGGTCGATTAAATTACAAAAGTACGCAATTTAGTCGTTCGATAGTTGGCTAACTTACAATTGTATGTCTGCGGGAGCTCTTACTCTCTATCAAGAGAAGAACGCCAACTTCATACTAGAAAACGGAAACACGTGTTTATGAGTGTACACGAAATGCGCTACGGTGGACGCCCATAAAAACTGTTTGAGCGGGAACTTCAAACCTTTGTATTCTGTAACTTTAAACTTTTTATTTAAGGCTTATTCGAGTAATTTTGGCTCAAGCCTCACAAACCTATGGGGGTAAATTCTCACATTTTTGAGAGGTTGCACCAAAATTACTCGAATATACTTTAGTTTAGTATGTGGGATAAAATAAAACTATAAATAAGTATAGTTATGTAATTTTATTTTCTGGAAGGCAGATTTTTTGTTGACAACAAAACTTGTTTCCATTTTCGGCGGCAACATCAAAGGAATACGCTTGTTGCCAACATTTGTTCCCTCGATGGAGACACTTGTTGGAAACAGTTAGAAACATAACTGTTGTGAACATTCTGGTGGATACGCGGCTTTATACTATTCCGTCCACTCGCCACTGATAAAGGAATTCCTCGCACAATTTAACCGCCTTTCTTCAAGTTTGTTCTAATCCAAATAATATTACACTACGCAGATAATCAGATATTACATATTTTTGTAATAGACGGCAGAGTGGACATGGTCCGAGTCCATTTTCTTTTAATAAAAAAAAATTCGTAGTAATGTTTATTGTCAGATTCTTAAATGGTTATATGGCTAAATGTAAAATTTTAATTTGACGTTATAATTATATTATTTTTGTATTTTTTACCATTTTTTATTGAAATGTTGATTGCGTACTATCTTTTTTGAGTTCTTAGCAAAATACGATTGTTTACAGTTTATGGTACGATCTCCTAAAAATTAAAGTTGGCAACCCTGAGCTCTATGGGCATAGACGCTATTGCTTTTCTCTTTGCTGATAATTATAAATAAAATATAATTAAAACCGCCAGTGGCCGCCAAAATTTATCAATTTCTTTTAGAATATTAGAAAACATTTATATGCAACATGAGCCAATTAACGGTGGAAGAAGGCTATTCGGATAAAATAGTGCATGAAATGTTATTTGAATATGATAAAACATTTATGCCTGTACCAGATATAGAATATGAGCCGCACTTACTAATTTCTAAAGTATGTATTAAATTTTAATTTGCAGTGTCTCCTAAATTTTAAGGTAACATAAAATGACTTTGATTTGTTTTAGGTTCGTAAACACTACATGGAACACATAATTAAACTTCTATCTATTAACTATGAAAATAATCAAAGACCCCACACTAAAAATATACACCTGCCTAGCGCAATATGGAGATGTGCGAAAAATATTGAAATCACTGCCGCTCAAACCTGCATGGTAGTGCAACTGTATCGAAAGAATATTATATCAGTGGTATGTAGATCTACAAAGCAATCATACATATAATATATATTTTGTAAAGGCAATTAATAACCAACAGTAAAGATGCGACTCGAGTGGGTTTTTGTGACTCCGCCACTTGGGTTATTTTATTACGTCGCTTTAGTTGTACTCGAGTTTCTGAGTAACTTGAGAAATATTTTTTTAGTTTTAGCAAGATTAACTGAAGGCAATTGATTTTTATATAAGATTTATTTAATCAATTATGAAATCAAAATAAAATGACGTCTTTAAGTTTCCTTGTAAGGATGTCTATCTATTAATTCTATAATTATATTTAATGCATTTTAAATTGCAAATTAAATTAAACTTTTTTTTAATCAGTTGGAATTGGGTGTTTATTTTTATATACTTTATATTGTGGAATATTAATAACTTGAATTTTAAGAGAAATGCTAAAAATTTTGTGTTAATGAATTTTTGACTTAACCAGAATTTTGAGATATAAAGGATTTAATTGCTAAAATTTGGACTTAGAAAGGTGTAGCTTCTAAGTATATTTTAAGAGTTGTAGAGACATCTATACAAATAAATAAAAAGTGTCTAGTTTGAAATGTTAAAATAACAGCTTTTTACCAAACGCATATGAAAGTATATACAGTATTAATAATAAAAAACAATTTTTAAAATTTTTGTCTATTTGTTCCGGCCAATCTCTGAAACGGCTGGACCACCAACATCTCGGCACGCCGGGATCACTCCCGGAAGTTGCTTGCAACATCAAAGCACTGTTGAACTTCTTCGGGGAGATCTCATGGCTCAAATAATTACATTATTCCTGCCCACACGCAAAATACGCACTTAGACGTGGAGTTGTGGAAAACAGCCCGTTATAAACTAAACTAAAAAGCGGCTGGACCGATTTTGATGGGACTTTAACTGGCAGATAGCTGATGTTATAAGGAGTAACATAAGATATTACTTTAAAAAAATTAAAACGGTATATATATATATATATATATATATATATATATTATAATCTATGACTCAAACTAAGTTCATGTTTGTTTACTATATGAAAAATGCAAGTTCGAACTTCTCATCAAATCTATTTGGTGCACCAAGTTGACTTGGTAACTCAAGTGCAAGCAAATTCATCAGAGTCACTCGAGTGAAAATAAGGCTTGAGTTGCATCATTAGCATTGGCTAGCCTTTGTAATGCGACTATGGGTCACAAACCTTGTAGTACATTAAAATAAAGAATTCTGCACTACTATAATATTTATTTATTTGCCACTATACCATTATCATTACAGGTTTATCACCTAATGCGATAATGTAGACAACTATTTTTGCAAATTACAATTACACAGCTACAATCTAATAATTATAGATCATATGTATCTATTTCTACTACAAAACACCATATCTATGTCACACTAGGATCATAACCTATTTCAAAGAGAGCTCTCACCATGAACACTCTTTTTGCTATACGGTTGAGGATACAGAGCCTAGATAATATACTATAGATACGGAGTGCACGCGTAAACGCCGCCTCATTAGCCAGCTTAGTACGGCCGCGCGGCACAGCTAGTAGCCGCGGCGGCCGCCGCCGCCACTCGTATCTGTTCGGAACACATATGCACACTTGTTGCAATATGAGTTTGCTTGTTGATAAAATATTATTACATATTTTTAAAATTTGTTGGACATAAACTAGAATATTGCAATCCAAATACCCAGCACAGTAGTCAATTCTTAGGTTAAAAGGGATTTGGTGTATGTGGCGCGGGTATTAGCGTTCTGCGTAGCTCACAATGGGTGTTTCATGTACTGTGTGCCTGTTCACATAATAAGGTAAATTCACATTGTAAAATTAAAACAAACAATTTGATCTAATCATTTTGGGCATGTGTATGTACATGCAAATAAGACGCTATCTTGTGTTATGTTACATGACACTGGCACTATAATTAAGATTGATGATAAATATGATGACACATTATTTTTTATTTAAATATGATTTATAAGTAAATATTTTAAATTAATATGTTGTGAAGACCTTGATGGAAGTAAGAATTTGCCTTCATCTCTAGCCGTCAAATAATAATATTGTCTTCCAGACCGAATTTCGGTTACCGCGGACAGCCCAAGTGTATGTGCATGCAATATATCCAATGGGACGGTAAACTGACACGACCGAAGAGAGATCATGTGCGGGACTAACGGCTTTACGTGCTTTCCGAGGCACGGTGATTAGACACTGCCAACTTTTTGAATTCGGGCAGCTACTGAGAATTTCTTGATGGAAAAACTCAATAACTTTTTTTGGCCAGACCCAGAATTCGAACCCAAGACCTCGTGAACAGTAGTTGCATTTACAACCACTAGACCAACGAGGCAGTCAAATACACTCATATTATAAATATCATCTTTATGAGTAATTAGTTGTAATATGTCAACAGTATGGTTCATAAACATACTAACAATTTTTTCGTGCCACCTGCCAAGCAGCCGTGTTCTTATTGAAGTGTTTTGTTTTGAGGGGCATTTAACCTTAACCCTCAATGAAATCAATGAATGACAATGCATTTGTATCCTTCCTTGCTTGACCCCGTAGTAGCAATATGTAGATGGATAGCCATTTACTATCAGATGGACAGGAAATGTCACCTTCAGCATAAAAACGTTTTATTGCTGAAGTTCCATATGCGCAGGACATGATTATACGAGTGTGTGTGCAAGCGCAGTTGCATTCCCTATGCCTTCCCCTCAAAGTCGATGTAATAACACCATATAACCGAAGTGAGATCAGGCGCAGGACCAATGGCTTGACGTTACTACTGAAAATTTCTTGACAGAAAAATCAAATTACTTATTTGGGCTTGACCTGGAATTAGAAACCAGAATCTCGCAATTATTTTAAATTTTTTATTTTAATTTTTAAGTCAAATGTCCTAAAATCCTTTGGTCAAGTTGTCAAGGTAACAGTTTTTTGTATGAGATGTATTTTTAATGATTTTCAGATTAAAGAATTAAAACAAGACACTAAGAAAGGCAAACTGTTTGGGAAGTTATGTGAATATGTTTATCAACCACCACAAAATGAAAAAAAAGTCCAAACTTCCCTTAGCAAGTCCAGTGATTGCACTTGTCAATGCATTTGCAACCAAAGAAAAAAACGTCGTAGGGAATCTGATCCATCAAAACAGTCTGGAGTAGACTTTGTTACATCTACAACCAGTAACACCAGTATTGATAATTATAAAGATCAAAGTGAAAAATTGGCAGAGCCATCTTTACATGCAGGTATTGAAAATAGTGATCTTACTCAGAAAAAAAATTGTTTGGATCCACCTCTGCACATGTCTATTGAATCACAAGATTCAGACGAGCTGATGCAACAATTAGAAAAGTTATTTCAAGAAGACTACAATGATGACGATCTTTTTGAAGGTTCATTATGCAATATTCCCAGTTCTTCAATGTGTGAAGTAAACCCAAATAAGTTGCCAGAAGAAAGCAACAACAATTTAAAACTTGAAATACAAAATAAGAGATCAGACATTAAAACTTCAGAGCAGCAATCTTTTGATGAAAGATTATCATCAATCGCTGGACAGTTAGTAAATAATTTCGAAAGTAATACTATTACTAAACCTGTACAGCAGAAAAATAAAAGAAGCGGTTCCAGTAAATGGTTATGCGAAGAGTATTTCTTGAAGTTGCGTTTGTTTGAAATGTTGGATCAACTAAGAGACTGTAATAGGGCAAAACTTGCTAGGGTAAATTTAAGTATTTTCACTTGAATATTTATAATTAAAAATACAAATGTGAATAGCTTGATATATTTACAGATAAAAGAAATATTAGTGGATTTATTTGGGGATGATAGTGATGATGAGGGAGTGATGTCACCCTTGGAAGAAACTCAAGAGTTCATAACAAGTTGTAAAGAGCGTATAGCGCCATGGGTTGTTAGAACATTGACCCCTTTCTATATTAAAGGTGGGATAAAAGGGAAAGCACTATTTAAATCTGTAGCCAAACATTTGATAAGACTTATATATCAGTGCAGTAAATATCCAAGTAAGTATCTTAAATTATTATTATTATGATGTGTATACGAGAATGAGACAGCAATAAAAAAATATCAAAATGATGTCTTATATTTATGAATACACAATAGATAATAATAACGGCGGATTTTATTGCTTTAAATATGTATAACTTATTTTTAACTCCCGATGTTTGAGTACATTGCAGCACCCATGGATGGAGTTTGACATTATCTCATATTTAAACTTAGCCTACCTTCAACATTATTAATTTCTGGTACAATCTTCATAAAACATTCTTACTTATCTTGATGTCACGCTGTGGTAAGCTTGTACAATTCTGTCTTTTTGGTAAAATGCCAGTTGATGGATGAATTGATGGATTTTGAAGAAACTGACATGTAGAATATTCTAATAGAAGTTCACTTCAAAAAGCCAATCTTGCCTGTGATTCTTCTAACATATGGTACAGCAGGCACATGCTCAACTGTGTCCAGTTTCATCCTGACCCGAAGCTTGAGGATGTGCAAAACTTGATGTGCTTTTACAATACCATGAGTCATATTGTGTATAGGAAAAGATCCAAAGTCCCTAACCAACCTAACCAACATTTTAATATTAGTATTTCAAGTATCCCCAATAAAGAAGTTAACTCCATCTAGTTATCATGGTTTGTGACTGTCATTAATTAGTTAGATATCTGCATGTTAAATTGTCATATTGAAACCATACCTTGATTTTAGAATTTAAATTACTGCATTTGCAAGAAAAAAAATTTACATAACGTTTGTCAAACTGATCTAATTCGCCACTACAAATCATTTGTCGGAATATTTTGTATCTGCAACCTGCATGCCTGTTTTAATTATTTTTCATTCAGAAATTTTTTTTTGTAAATTCTGTACCTGGATCGGCTCCGATTCATTGATTTCATTTTCTCGCTACCTCACTACAATTTAACATAACATAACATAAACACTCACTCCTGTTACCCAGAGGGGTAGGCAGAGACTATGGACTTCCATTTGGCACGATCCTGACACACCTCTCTCGCTTCCTCCACATCCATGTACATCTCTTAATTTGGCCCATTTTCAATATATCGCCAATTTGGTCGATAAACTTTCGCCTAGGGCGTCCCTTCCCGGCTCTGCCGTTCACTTCTGCAACATAAATTTGCTTTTTCACTCTTTCCTCATTCATTCTTTCTACATGACCAAACCACTGAAGCATTCCTTTCTTAATCCTGGTCACAACATCATCTTGCAAACCGCACTTTTCTCTTATTAAACAATTTCTCACTCTGTCATTCAGATTCATCCCTAACATACTCCTTAATGACCGCACTTCTACAGCATTTATTCTACTCTCGTGCTTCTTCTGCCACACCCAACTTTCACTACCATACATTAAAGTAGGTACTAACACAGCATTGTGAATTGCCATACGTGCCTTTTTGGACCCATTCTCACTTTTCACAATAGGGTGTAGAGCCCCATACACTCTATTTCCTGCATTCACTCATCGTTCTATATCTTTATCATATCTACCATCCCTGCTAAACAGGGATGTAATAGCAAAACCCAAATACACAAACTCATCTACTTGCTCTACCAATTCCCTTTCTATTCTTATTTCACATCGTTTTACTTTCTTCTCTTTCAAAAACCATAACTTTCGTCTTACTTGCGTTCACTTTCATTCCCTTTACTTTTAATGTCCTGTTCATTAATGTAACCATCATTTGCAACTCGGCTGCCGACGACGCAAGTATGACTTGATCATCGGTGTACAAAAAGCATTTGACGGTTAACTCACCCATTCTTAACCCGCATTCTTCTACTTTCATATTTTGCAAACATCTGTCCATAAATAGGTTGAACAGCCACGGGGAAGCCACACAGCCCTGTCTGACACCTTTATGGATGCCAAACCAGTCCGAGCAGGTCCCGTTGATCCTGACACAAGCACTAGAGTCCCTATACAGAGACTTCAATGCCTGTATCAACCCAGCGCTCAACCCAAATGAGTTCAGTGTTTTCCATAACACATCCCTGTCCAGTCTGTCATAAGCCTTCTCCAAGTCCATGAACGCACAAAAAACTTTTTGGTTTTTCGCCAAAAACTTCTCTGCGACCATGCGCATGGAAAAGACTTGATCCGTACACCCCATTCCCTTTCTAAATCTCGCTTGCACATCCCAAATTTTACCATCAGTTTCTTTCATAACTCTTTCAATTAGTACCTTAGCATACAGTTTTCCCACAATGCTAAGAAGGCTGATACCACGGTAGTTTTTACAGTCCTGCTGTGATCCTTTTCCTTTATACATCGGGACTATCACGGCTTTGCACCAGTCTCCCGGTACCCGCTTAAGTTCCCAACATAAATTAAACAAGGTGTACAGCAGGTCTGCCACCACTCCTTCTCCAGCCCTTAGCATTTCGAGAGATACCCCATCATATCCGGCTGCCTTACCTGCTTTACTTTTCATTGCTTTCATTATTTCATCTATACTTATGTCTCTATCTATTTCGGAATTTCTATTTTATTCAATTCAAACGTCTCATCACTCATAAACACGCTTTCAAAGTATTCCTTCCATCTCCTTAAACTCGAAACTCCATTATTCAGAATACAGCCATTTTGGTATCGTATAGCATTTATTCTAGGCTGTTTTGAGTGTCCCCTGGCAGTTCTTACGAGTTTCCAGAACATTTAAATGTTTGTCTGGAAGTTACCCAATATTCTTCTATCATTATTATCCATTCTTCTTTTCTTTCCTTTCAACTACTTCTTTTACTCTCGTAGTTAGATGTCTAAAGACTGCTTTTTTCCTTTCAATATCATTATTCGATACATGTTAATTGTCATATAAATAATTTTAATGTTACTAACAAAGCTTCTCAATATTTCAGGTGAATATGAAGTAAAGAGCTTTGTAAGTGATTTTCTGGAAAGTCATAAAAAAATAAGATGTGAAGCCGACTTTAAGCAATTCCGAATAGAAAATATTTAAAGAGATTTATAATTACTACATACAACTATGTAAAATGATTGTTATTTATTAATCTTTCTTCTGTAATTATTTGGTATGGTAAGCATACATATTTTTAAATCAATAATTTAAAATCATTCTTTAAACTGAACACATGACAATTTTTCTTATTTATTTTTATGCTTCTTAAATAAAAAAGGTCACTATTTACAAAATTACATAAGTAAACATTAATATAGGTATAGGTAGGTAGGGATAGGGGTAGGGTGCGTATTGACCAACCAGGTTTTTATACCAGGTATTTTCTTGAACGTGCGTCGACCAGTGATCCGAAGTTCAACTCCTTTGTTTGTGGCGTGGCAATTGAAAGTATTGTGAGTTAGTTTGAACTGGACTCCCTAGGATATAAAAAATAATGATCTTACAGATACCATTTTGTTTTTGGAAGTATTTTTTTCATACGCGATTGTACTCCTTTTTTATATTATTTGACGGATCAATTGCCTATAAAAGTTTCAATATGTTTATTTCTCGACTTTATCAGAAAGTACTTGAAAGTATTTTGAATTCTGGTTTTTGGCACTGTTATTTTCAGGACGTACTTGGAATTGGAAGCCATGGTTCGCGATTTTGTAAGTACGATTCATGCCTCCTAGGGAAGGTGCGTTATTTACGCGACCAGGTTTTTGTACCAAGTATTATTTACTAGTACGCCGACCAGTTGGTGGAACCGAAGTAATCGTAAAAACTTCAAAAGTACTTTACTCGGTAACTTACCCTTTCGTGGCGTGGCTTCTGTAGCACTCGATAGAACTTTTAAAATTATTATAAGCTCTGTTAGCTTCAATTGGACTCATATGGAAGTAAAACTTTGTTCTTATAAAAAATAAGAACATAATCCTGCTGATCAGCCTAAAAACTTCCAAGCGTTCGGAGTATTTTTATTCCTTCTTTAAAAGACTTGTATCAATTTCCTATGTAAGTGACATTAAAGTCTTCGAAATATCCTCCTTATTTATATCAAAGGGAAGATCGATTTCCTATGCAAGTATTTTTAAATTCTACTTATTTTTCATCTCCAACAGAAAAAAAATTGAAATCTGGATTTTGGTGCTGAAAACATAGTTTCGATTTTTATGATCGGTTTTTCGAATTCTATATTGACGACACAGCTTAGAGCTCGACAAATTCGATATATTTAGGTATAGAATAGAATATAACATGGATTATAGAATCTATACAAATAAATAAAATTGAAGTGTCTGTTTGTAATGTCAAAATTACAGCGTTTTACTAAATGCATATGAAAGTATAAACGGTACTTATAACAAAAATACACTTTTTTAAATTTTTATCTGTCTGTCTGTTTGTTCCGGCTAATATCCGAAACGGCTTAAACGATTTTGACGGGACTTTCCCTGGCAGATAACTGATGTCATAAGTAACTTAGGCTACTTTTATTTTAGAAAAATAATTAGGGTTCCCCGCAAAAAAATTAAAACCCTAAATTACACGCGGGCAATGTCGCGGGGAACAGCTAGTAGAAAATAAAATAAAATATGGAATTCGATAACATATCATCAGTCCATTGTAAGGGAGTCCCCACATTTATCGACGCGTAATCTTAGCGGCTCCTTCGAAAGGCCGTCGCGACGTCTGTTCACATTCAACTGTTGTCCAACGCCGTTCGGCCGGCTTCTGCGCCGATCGGCTGCTGTCGGAGATGAAATCATGCGAGCGGATTATTTCAACGTCGTTCGGCTGCCTTCGAAAACTTAAACATGTCGACTTGGGATGCGATCAGTTAACCGGCAAACCGCTCGTTTTGCCGTCGGCCGACGTCTCGTTTCGTCGTTCAAACCGAGCTGATGAGAATAGCATTAAAACATCCGTATTTCGTAGACTTAAAGGTTTTACTGACCTGCTGAAGCCGATTTCGCTTCGATAAATGTGGGGACTCATACTTTGTAAATCTTGTGATAAGTATTGCAGGCCGCTCAAATTTTGAACTTTTTTAATAGTCTGAGATGTTACTGCGTGATTATGCCCATCTGTGTTTTTAATGGAAATACATATTTTAGAGAAATAAGGTTTTGCCGGGCTGCTTATCAAAATATGACACCGCAAGTTTTTTCAATTAAAATTAATGCAATGAGTTTTTGTTAACAATTTCGATCGCTTGATTTTTAGAAAAATTATCAATAATATCAAAGAAAAATATATAAAGAATCATAAATTAACATTTTGATTGTTAGCTATTGTGTCAATTTAGCTTACACCTATCTGCCTAAAGGTTGCGGCCATTTTTATAACAGGTAATATTAACAGGTGTCAGTCAGTCTAAATCGACACTGGAAAGTGCAAACGTATGTTCTGAACTTTACACACATACACATATAATACGAGGGGCACACTGAAATGATCGGGAATATAATATTTCGGATTGAGTTACAATAAAATCATTTTTTAGAATTTGAATACTGGCCTCTTAGAATCTTAATGACATTCAAACAATTAAAAAAAAAATGTTTCAAAACAAAAACTATGTTGGTTTAAAGTTGACACGTCCTTAACGGAAATGGAGCTCATGCGTGAACATTTCCGTGTCATAATTTATCACAATTTTCGTCGCGGCTTATCTCAAGATAAATGTATTAGCGAACTTGTTTCGATTTATGATGTTGAAGCACCGAGTCAAAGGACAATATACAGCTGGTATGCCGAGTTCCGACATGGTCGTGTGTCGCTCAGCACTGTTTCTTCTGCAGGTCGACCAAGAACAGCGGTCACGCCTGAAAACATCGCAGCTGTGCGAATTATTATATTAGATGACCATCATGTGACATACGAGCAGATTAGGGCTGTTATCAGTGTCGGAATGACTGCAATTCAGTCTTTATTACATAATGAGCTCTCTGTAAGAAAGCTAGTTTCCCGCTGGGTTCCCCACAATTTGTCCGAAGAATAAAAGGCGGCTCGTGTAGATTGGTGCCAGAATACTCTGCAACGCTTCAACGGAGGGAAGTCAAATGCCGTTTGTAATATCGTCTCAGGTGACGAATCATGGATTTATTCATACGAACCTGAAAGAAAGCAGTTTGGGTCTTCGAAGACGAGGTCAAACCAACTAAAGTGGTTCGCTCCCGCAGCGTGTCAAAAAAAATGGTCGCTACGTTTGTCTCGAAAAAGGGGCTTGTTGCTACAATTCCTTTACAGGAACGCAGAACGGTTACCGCTGAGTGGTATATCACGGTTTGTTCACCAGAAATGATAGCCGAACTCCGAAAAAATAACCCGAAACATCGCATCATCTTACATCACGATAATGCAAGCTCCCATACGGCCGGCTCGGAAGACAAATGATTTTTTGAAGAAGGAAAACGTTGAGCTAATGAGCCATCCTCCGTACAGTTCTGACCTGAGCCTAAACGATTTCTTTACATTCCCTAGAATGAAAGATTTATTACGCTGTCAACCGTTTGAAAATCCCGAAGCAGCTGTGGAAGCGTACAAATCAACCATTTTGTCAATATCAACTTCAGATTGGAATTACTAGTTTTAATTATTGGTTTGCACGAATGGAAAAATGCATTAAGTTGAACGGAGAATACTTCGAAAAACAATAAAATACAATTTAGCTATACCGTGCATGTGGTTTTTCTTATTCCTGATCATTTCAGTGTGCCCCTCGTATATCCGTGATACACTTGGTACTTTTTAGTTGTTTTGGTATTTGTAGCAATTTGAAGCGAAGTCTTGCGTCGGCCTTATGGTACTGATCGATGTGGGTAGAGATGGTTATCGAAATTTGTAACCAGCGATAGATAGAACTATTGATCCTTGTTTCATCTTATAAGGTGTCCTTTGATAACTGTGGCCCTTACAAAGATCATATTATATAAATTTTCTTTATTATGTTAGATACTATTACTATTGTTGTGTATGTGGATGTTACTATGTACTTATATATTACTAATTCTATTATTGCAGCTTACAACAGGAGGAAAGATGTTACACTAACCTTGAATAAGTGTTAAATATCTTTTATTATTGTCTTAAATTTGTCTTTAATACAAGTTCAAGTAACTATTACTTCTGAAAATATTTCTTACTCCAAATAAATAACTTCTATTCAGCAAGAAACTTTAAAAAAGAGGCCTTTAAAAACTTTAAGAACTTTAAAAGGACTAAGATGAATGAATAGGATGTAAGGAATAATTTTAATGACTTCAATGTAATAAAAAAGACTTAAAAATACTTTACTTAGTTTTATTTGTTTTTATAAAATGATAACAGTTTTCTTTTCTATTTTGAAATTAATGCATATCACACACGAAAGATAATTTATTTGAATCTTTTACTCTTAGTGTCTTGATCGTTAATTTTTCTTTTTTCAGTTTTCTTAAACCATGCAGTTATAGATTTTTGTGAACATTTTTCTTTTGATATTCTCTTAATACAGTCATTGGATTTGTAGCGTGAATTGTTAACTGCTGTTGAAACTTGATGCCATGACAGTAATTTGGAAGGCCTGAGATATGAAAGTGCCATATCTGCATTAACATTATCTATGTCAAGCCATGCCTAAAATAAAATTTAACAATGTTAATTTTTGTGCTACAAAAAGTAGTGACTGAAATTTTCGGACAGTGCGATTATCAATCTAGAGGCAAAGTGTAATGATTAAGGCAAATTATCTCTACAATAGGAGATACCCATGTCCAGCAGTGACGTATAAGGGCTGTTGAAGTGGGAGAATATAAATTCCATCTTGTGTAATTAAAGCTAATGTTTAACTAATACCTCAATTTGCATTTCTGTGTCCAAAATGGCAGGCATTCGATGGTGTAGCCAATCCAGTGTATTATTTGAGTCCATAGTAATAACAGAATATGAATAAAGAATAATATCATTATTTTGCCATACATTATACAGTCCAGCTATGTACAAAAGCTTTAAACCATTCCATCCATCTTTATTATTATAACTATTTTGAAATGTGTCAGGCTCATCAATCTGTAAATATAAACCTATTATACTGAATCAATATTAAACTCTATAAATTATGTTGTACATCTTGTAAATGAATCAACACAGTGTCTCAAAATATATATTAAAAGATAATATTATATATTATAATATTGTTACGCGCCACTATTAATGTCTTGTACATGGCAACACTAGTTACACTAGCGCCCCCTAGTGTCGAGTAAATGAAAGTATTGCGCGCCACTATTAATGTCTTGTACATGGCAACACTAGTCACACTAGCGCCCTCTAGTGTCGAGTAGCAGAACTAGGAGAGTCGAGATCCTTCCAGAAATTTCGGGACCGATATGTACTCGAACATTCTAGATGTCGCTACAGTAGAAGATTCTGGAAACTATCTGAGGCCCTATATAAGACCGGTATAGACCACGACCGGGGCAGTATTGAATTGGCGATACAAGAGAATACTTCGAAGCGAAACAACTCCGAACTTAAGTGATCAGTAGAATTATTGTGTTTTATTATTAGTGTGTTTTAAGGTGTAATTAGTATCCGTAATTAAAGTGTCAAATTTGGTAATTCAATCGGCAGTTTTTAATTGTCTCGAACCTCAAGCTCGTAACAATTGGTGTCAGAAGTGGGATCAAATATGCCGATTTTACCTAAAGACGACACGGCGGGTATCCGTACCCGAAGTCAACGCCAACAGGAGACGGACCAGAGACGATTTGGTAATGCAACGCCGCAAACGTCGGAGGGCCAGTTGCTAACCACGGAGGCTGGCCCGTCAGCAGCTCCTGCATCTGCAGCACCTGACTTAGGTGCTCTGATGATGATGCTGCAGGATCAGGCTCGCCGCCAGGAGGAAGAGGCCCACCGACAGGAGGAACAGACCCGTCGGTTGGAAGAGCAGCTGCAGCGCGGTATGGAAGAACAGATGCTCCTCAGGAAGGACCTTCACGCTACCTTCGGGAAAGAGATAAAGGAGGTGAAGGATAGGGTTGCTCAACATGACAACCGCCTGTCGGAAGCTGAAACCCGAATCGACCAAGTGAACAATCGGGTTGACAACGTGATGGCTGATGTGAAGAAAACGCTGGACGACCTCAAACTTGGGGATGGAGTTACAGCTCCCGTGGTAGCTACAACACCTTCGCTACGTGGATTCAAAGTGCCGCCGTTCGACGGGACTTCTTCCTGGTCGGCCTATAAAATCCAGTTCGAGGCTGTCATGAAAGCGAACGGCTGGAATAAAAGTCAGGCCATGACTGCTCTCACCCTAGGCCTGCGCGACCAGGCATTAACTGTTCTGGAAGCTCTCGGTAAGGAAGTGACTTACGAGCAGCTCCTTGAGGCATTGGAGGCGAGATATGGCGACGCTCACCTGGAACACGTCTTTCGTGCGCAGCTCAAAGATCGCGTGCAACGCAGTAACGAAAACCTGCAGCAGTGGGCCCTTGAGGTGGAGAAGCTGGTTCGAAAAGCGTACCAGTCTGTACCTGCGCTTATTGTAGGGAACCTGGTGCAGACATTCATCGACGGCATCCGTGACCTTGAAGTCAGAGCTGCTGTGAGGCTCGGGCACCACGAGACGCTTAAGGACGCCTTGACCCATGCACTGGAGGTGGAAGCCGTGCGGCAGGATCATCGTTCCCACCGCGTCAGGGAGGTTGCAACAGCTAAAGTTCAGGACCGCAATAAAAGCTACAGCCCTAGGTGCTACGGCTGTGGAGAAAGGGGCCATCTTCGATCCAGCTGCCCTAAGCGAACTGTAGGAAGGGAAGGTGATCGATCTCGAGAGGGTAGTGCGGATAATAGCACCGCCCAGCAGCAGCAGGGAAACTGGCGGGTGCTGGCTGATGTTAAAAGAGCCCCAAGGATTTCGATCTCACAAACTCATGATGGGAACAGCCTAATCATCAAGGGCGAAGTCAACGGAACGCCATGTAAACTGACCATAGACACTGGAGCCTCTCGCACGGTTGTCAGTTCCCAACTTATAAGTCGGTTCCTTGGTGACTCCGCATACAACCGAGAACGCATTAATTTGGTGACAGCCACTGGTCAGCGCATACCCGTCCGTGGAGAGAAGGAGATGGAGTTGAAGCTAGGCAACATGATCTACCTGCATAATGTCATCGTGGCTGATATAATGGACGACTGCATCCTGGGCCTAGACTTTATGAGGAAGAATTGTTGTGAGATCGACGTTAAGCAAGGTGTTTTGAAATGTGGACAAGAAGAACTTTTCATGGAAGGGGCGTTACCAGGGAATGTGTACAGCCTTAAGAAGATTGTTCTTCCGCCGAAATCGGAAACGATTGTGCCGGTTAGTCTTCCTCGGAGTCCTGGGCAAGCTCATCGTTGTGTACTCGTGGAAAGGGTAGACAATGACCTTCCATGGAAAGTGGCTCGAACCTTGGTCAGAACCACCGACATCTCAGGAGTACGTGTGTTGAACCTTTGTGATCAGGAACAGATTATAGAAAAAGGCACATTGGTTGGTACTAGTGAGGAAGTGGATTGGTTGCGTCGGTGCGAATATCTATCGACCGGGACCCCTAGCAAGGATGGACAAACGAGAGTGACCACACTTTTAGAAGACTGTCGCAGCGTTCTCTCCCCGAATGAAATGGTCAAGGTGAAGAAGTTGTTACTCAAGTACGCCAATGTTTTCTCGTCAAACGAAGCTGACATAGGAAAGACTGGCTTAGTTCAACACAAAATAAACACAGGACAAGAATTGCCTATTCGTCAGCGGTCAAGAAGATTGCCTGTAGCACGTGAAAAGGAAGTGGAAACCATGATTGAGGGAATGGTGAAGGATGGTGTTATTGAACCTTCATCTAGTCCATGGTGTTCACCTGTGGTGCTGGTAAAGAAGAAGGACGGCAGCATGCGGTTTTGTGTTGACTACCGCCGCCTGAACGACGTTACGAAGAAGGACAGCTATCCCTTGCCTAGAATTGATGACACGCTGGACATGCTCACAGGCGTAAAGTGGTTTAGTACGCTGGACCTGAAAAGTGGCTACTGGCAGGTTGAAATTGACCCTAAGGACAAGGAGAAAACTGCATTTTCCACAGGAAAGGGTCTGTGGCAATTTAAAGTTATGCCGTTTGGATTGTGCAATGCTCCAGCAACGTTTGAAAGATTGATGGAACTTGTACTTACCGGGCTAATTGGAGATGCCTGTCTGGTCTATTTGGATGACATCATCATCGTAGGCCGTACGTTTGAGGAACACCTTCAAAACCTGGAACGCGTGCTCATGAAGATCCAGAGTGCCAACCTCAAGTTGAGTCCAAAGAAGTGCTCACTATTCAAACGGCAAGTTAGTTTTTTGGGGTATGTAGTGTCGGAAGAAGGTATCCGCACGGATCCAGAGAAAATTGCTGCTGTCAAGGAGTGGCCGGTCCCAAAAGACAAGACACAGGTTAGAGCATTTTTGGGTTTGTGCTCTTACTATCGGCGATTTGTGAAGAACTTTGCAGATATAGCCAAACCTCTGCACAAGCTAACCGAGGAGAAGCGACAATTCTGCTGGGATGAAGGTTGCGATATTGCATTCCAGGAGCTCAAGAACCGCCTGTGCAATACACCTATTTTGGGGTACCCTGATGCGGGCAAGGAATTCATAATTGACACAGACGCAAGTGATATAGGACTTGGCGGTGTGTTGTCTCAACGGAATGGTGATCAAGAGATTGTGATAGCGTACTTCAGCAAGTCGTTGTCAAAGCCGGAAAGGAACTATTGTGTCACAAGACGGGAATTGCTTGCTGTGGTAAAGTCCTTGCAGCATTTTAGCAAATATCTTCTAGGGCGGAAATTCCACTTACGAACTGACCATGCTGCACTGAAATGGCTATTGCAGTTCAAAAATCCGGAAGGACAAGTTGCGAGATGGATAGAACTACTGCAGGAATACGACTTTGTGATCGAACATCGCAGCGGGAAATCTCATGGCAATGCAGATGCATTGTCAAGAAGACCTTGCCCTGAAGATTGCAAGCATTGTACTAGGCAAGAGGGTAAGGAAGTGGTATCTGTGAGAATGCTCAGGACAGACCAGCTCAGCAATGAGTGGAAGGACAGCCTACAGCATGCACAGCAGGAAGATTCGGACATTAAGCCGATTCTGGAATGGATGAAGGCCAGTGCTCCTAAGCCCAAGTGGAGCGACGTCTCAGCAATGAGTTCGACCACAAAAAGCTATTGGGCCCAATGGGACAGCTTGCTGATTCAGGATGGAGTCCTGTGCCGTAAATGGGAAAATGGTCGGGGAGACAGGTGTCATTTGCAAATGGTTGTCCCTAAGGCTAAAGTGCCGGATATTCTACAGCTGTACCATAGTGGTTGTTCAGGAGGCCACCTGGGAGTTAAACGAACTCTCCTGAAGATCCGAGAACGGTTTTACTGGGTCCACTGTCGTGACGATGTCCAGGACTGGTGCCGCAAATGTACAAGTTGTGCGGCTGTAAAGGGACCTCAAATTCGTAGTAGGGGCGCATTGAAATTGTACAATGTTGGTGCACCATGGGAGAGGATAGCCATTGACGTTGCGGGGCCGTTTCCAGAAACTGAAAGTGGTAACAAGTATTTCATGGTCGTGATGGATTACTTCACTAAGTGGCCAGAAGTCTTCGCCATTCCAAATCAAGAAGCTTCAACCGTTGCAGATAAACTAGTTCATGAAGTCTTCTGTCGTTTTGGAGTACCTTTAGAGATTCACAGCGATCAAGGAAGGAATTTTGAGTCTCAAATATTCCAGGAAACTTGCCGAGTTATGGGTACTCAGAAAACACGAACAACTTCTTACCACCCACAATCTGATGGAATGGTAGAAAGATTTAATCAGACATTGGAGAGGTACCTAGCAAAAGTTGTGGAAAAACGGCAACGAGACTGGGACAGGCACATACAACCGTTTTTGTTGTCATATCGAAGCGCTGTTCACGAAAGTACATCAGTAACACCAGCTTTCGCAAACTTTGGGAGAGAATTGCGGCTGCCTGCAGACCTGATCACCGGAATACCACCTGATGCCCCACGCAGTATAACCGATTATGCAAATGACTTGCGGAACAAAATGAATGACATTTATGAGCACGTCAGACAGACGGGCCAGCAAACGTCTGAGAAGATGAAAACACGGTATGACCGCAAAATGAACAACAAGGGCTTTGATGAAGGTTCACTAGTGTGGTTACACAATCCAGTTCGCAGCAAAGGGAAATCTCCTAAGCTTCTAGCTAAATGGGACGGACCGTACCGGATTGTGACAAGGATCAATGATGTAACCTACCGGATACAGAAAGGTGCCAGAGGTACTCCTAAGATTGTCCATGTGGATCGACTGGCGCGTTATTATGGGGCCAATAATGCTCGGGACGAGCATGTCTTAGGAGGGGGCAGTGTTACGCGCCACTATTAATGTCTTGTACATGGCAACACTAGTTACACTAGCGCCCCCTAGTGTCGACTAAATGAAAGTATTGCGCGCCACTATTAATGTCTTGTACATGGCAACACTAGTCACACTAGCGCCCTCTAGTGTCGAGTAGCAGAACTAGGAGAGTCGAGATCCTTCCAGAAATTTCGGGACCGATATGTACTCGAACATTCTAGATGTCGCTACAGTAGAAGATTCTGGAAACTATCTGAGGCCCTATATAAGACCGGTATAGACCACGACCGGGGCAGTATTGAATTGGCGATACAAGAGAATACTTCGAAGCGAAACAACTCCGAACTTAAGTGATCAGTAGAATTATTGTGTTTTATTATTAGTGTGTTTTAAGGTGTAATTAGTATCCGTAATTAAAGTGTCAAATTTGGTAATTCAATCGGCAGTTTTTAATTGTCTCGAACCTCAAGCTCGTAACAATATAATACAGTACATATTAAGAATGGTCCAGTGGCGATGTAAGAATATCCACTACCCCAATCCGTCCCGTGGTTAGTTGTGACAGAGGCGACAGAGGGAAACTGAAACAGGAAATGGGCAGCAGCATCTTCCTGATAACCACTCAAAATTATGAAATCTGTGGTTGCCAAGCGTAGCAACTATGGCTAATTTACCTCTATGAAGCAATCTATGGTCTATTGGGGAAGCCTATGTTCAGCAGTAGATTTTTATAGGCTGTAATGGATAATGTATTTTAAAAGATATTACATAATATTTTAAAATAACATTTCTCTAATAGATTTTGACATTTATTATTACTCAATTACACTTGCATGTTCATAAACTCGGCAACACGAGAATAAAAAACGGTTTTGTCTCTTGACTATTTATATCAAGTAAGATTAAAAACTAAATAATCAGAGGAGGGGAAGGTCTACGCGCTAATATGCAAGCATTCGTTCAACCGTCACAAGAAAAATGGTTACCTTTAGTGTTCAGTAACATGCAAAATCATTCAATCACTAAAGCCTGAAGTCAAAGTTAAAACCGTTTGTAGAACAACTACTTATATATATTCATATATTCTACAAATTATCTAAATGATAAAGAAAGAAAATCTGATTATGAAAATATAATATACAAATTACCTTGGCCATCTAGCACGATTTTTTATAGGATAAGGTTGACAAGAGAGCACACAGACCACCATCCTGATGGTAAATGTTTGCTGTGGCCCGTATATATCTACATCTATCCTCGTTTGCGAATCAAAATATAGATACGTTCTCAGATGTGAAGACCAAGATGGAATGTCACTTTCCCAGTAAAAAGGGTCTCCGGTTCTCTACACTCACCATACGAAACACAGCACCAGCAGCATTAAGCCGCTATTATAGGTTGGTATTCTGTGAGTGCCGCGTCATTCCCCGGTCGAGCCGACCCCTTCGTGCTACAACTATACAATTAATATAGCTGCAGCATGGCTCTACCACGTATAATATATATACGCGGGAGCCGTGGTAGCTCAAGGGGTAAACACTCGCTGTAAATTTCACAGTACGCGAGCAATCCAATTAATTTAACAGTGGTAGAGCCACGCGGCAGCTTTTGCTGTCGCACGGATGGGCCGGCTCGAACCGGGGTGGTATCACGACCTCACAGAATACCAGCGTGAAGTAGAGGTTTACCTCTGCGTTTCGCTTGGTGAGTGCAGGTGGCCGGAGGCCGCCCTTTTTACTGGAACTGAGGCATTCCATCTTAGTCCTCACGGGTGACAACGCATCTGCATTTTGATTCGCAAACGAGGATAGATGTAGATGTCTATGGGCCGCAGCAACCACTTACCATCAGGTGGACTGTGTGCTCGTTTGTCACCCATATCCTATAAAAAAATCCGGGTTCGATCCCCACTGGCACCAATGGAATGTTAATTGCAATTTTAACACGTTCACTGTCCGTTTTTCAGACAATAGTAAGACAATATGACTATATGTATATGCAATGACCTATATGTAGTGCACGGGATAGCGAAAGGGCCACGGGATAGCGAAAGCGCTAAGTACTGATTTACCACGTACTCGGCGGTGAAGGAAAATATTATGAGGAAACCTGTGAAGTTCGTCAACACGCATTGAGGCAGCGCGGCGGACATTTCCTTGCCGTAAAACCCTTTCAGAAATCAGCAGTGGAAAGTATATAGGCTGTAACTTTTATAAGTTTATTTATGCGCAGTGGCTTAGCAATGAGTTACGTAAGCCTACAAGTAATTCTTCCGGGTCTGAATGTTTGCCCTAGTGTAATCTATGTATGTAAACTGCCTCCACGACACTAGAGAAAATCGTAGACATGCAAGTTTCCTCACGTTTTTCTTCACCGTCAAACACTATTAAAATTGCTATTTTAAGTGCTCAATTACTAGATTGAACTCAGTTGCTCGCGTACCATGAAATTTACGGCGAGCACTTAGCCCCCGAGATACTTACATAGTGAAGTTTTATCGACAGCATAGCCTAGTGATTGGAGTACATGGCTTCTACAGTGCAGGTTCTGGGTTCATTTCCAACTTTACTACATTGCTTGAGTCATAGTTAATGTTAATAATTTTTATTTAATACCTGCGCCTGGCATGTGTTTTAATATCTCTTTTTGTCAGAAACATTCGTGAGCCCGCACAACTATAAACTAACATTCATAATTGCAACGAGTTGCACACAGTACCATTTAGATGCTGTTTACCATAGTCGGTATATGACTTTTACATGTGGTGTTTATGAGATGGTTATAATGATATCTATCAGTGGCTATATTCATACGGTCTTTGTGGTTTTTATAAAAATTGCCCCTTATGGCACCAATAGGACAATATGGAGTGATCAATTCTTGGCACTGCAGATCACAGTACCAAATTTTATCGCCTGTTTGGGGATATTACATCTGTTGAATATGAGATGGTTATACTTTTATCTATCAGTGGCCATATGATCTTTCTGGCTTTGCAATAATTGCCCCTCATAACACCTATATCACAATATGGAGTGATCGATGTTCAGCACTTTGCAAAATATTTGTGACACAACAAATTGGAATGTTGAATAATATAATCATTGTTAGCATTTTCACTTTAACCATATGTGGTCTTTTGAATCTGCTTTTTGGTATGTATTGAAAATATGTACTAATGTGGCGAATTGCAATATTTACCTTGATATGTTCATCTTGTGAGGCATAAATGTAGTAGGGTTGTTTCACCTTAGTTTTAATAGTTGTTTGCCATTCATAGTAACCCTCTATTACAATTATACATCTACCACCATCCAACAAAATTGGGTTATATAGTTTAGATTGCCTTATATTTTCTAATCTACAATTATTTGTACTTAGATTATGTTTGTGATAATCACCCTAAAATTAAAATATACACTTGATTTTGTAATTGCTTTTTTATCATTGTATACCTCATTCATTTAGGTTGTATATGTTACAGTCTAAACTTATAACCGGTCAAAACCACTTTTGACTGCAAAAATCAGGCAACAATGGTTTTGACCGATGTCCTTTGTCAAAAACAGTTTTGACTGATTTTTATAGTCAAAAGAGGTTTTAACCAACATTCTTCTTCAAAAGTGGTTTTGGGTTTTGTCTGATTTAAACTACAGACTGTCGGTCAAAACTCGCAATATCAGTAACAATAAGGGTTAAGGTGCGGCTGGGGTGGCCCTTTGGTCACCCTAAAGCCGAGTACATTATAATGATATAAAATATAATATTGAAAAAAATTTACTTTTTCATTTCAGAAAATCAAAAAGTATAAGTCAAAAGAAGTTTTGACTAACATTGTTGAACACAAAAGTTATTTTACCAGGCCTCCGTCACTCTTGTTACCTGCGTGAAATAATTACCTACAATCGCGAGCTGCCCCAGGGGTAGATCGCAGTCGGGGCTAGCGCGCTCTATACGATTGAATGTTAAATTTTTTTAACGCTGTTTACGTAAATTATTTTTTGTAAATACTTGTTGAAATACTCGTCGAAATAGTTTTTGTTTAGTGTTTAGTACTTATATTTAATTCTAGGATAAAATAGTTGAAAAAGTTTTAATGTAATTTAAGAAAAATATATATGAATATTACCTATCTATTTGATAAATTATAATGGCAAAACGTCGTTCCTACTATAATTGTTGCGGGGATGGATGCTTAATGAGCAATTAAAAGGATTCAGATATATCATTTTTTGAGTTACCGAATGATAATGAAAGGTAAATTTATTTCATTTTTTGTTAGATAGGTACTTATAGCGAAAAAATAATAAAGTAATAACTTAACTACAGAAGTAATACCTAAGTACTTTATTACAAAACTTAGCTGAAATTTACTTCACTACCCACGTACCTACTTACATACCTATACTCGTCTTTGTAATTAAAATATTTTGAGTTATAATAGCACAAAATACTGAAATTAAAACTTTGTTTACACGATTTTCAACTAAATGGATTACAATCATATTTCTGTTAGGAATCGTATTTTGGGTTTATTTGTTGTTTACGATATCTACCTATACGTATCAAGCATCGCAATTCCCGGCGAATGACCTTGCAAGTTGCACGCGTTGGGCATCACAGAACTCACATAGTAGATAATATGGTCGATTATAGTCAGCATAGGTACTTTACCTAAATAACTTACCATTTCACAATGTATTTTTTTACTCTTTATTAACAGCCCTTAACAACTACGGAAAGTCCGTTGTGACGTAGTAAGGAGAAAAGATGCAAAGTAATTCGGACACTCGCGCGCAGCGATAAAGTTTTATTTAGCTTGCGTGCGCGATTTATCTGATTAATAATAACTATGTAGGCAATTAAAACGTCGGCAAGCAGTCAACATCAAAAGAGTGCAACTTCTGTACCTAGTACTATTATTTATTCTGTGATTTTACTTTTAACCAATGTAATTTGGTGAAAATCACTATTACTCAATATTTTTGCAGTTAAAAGTGGATTTGACAACAGGTCTTAGTCAAAACTACTTTTGACTGCAAAAATCAGTTAAGTGATATTGACAAGCATTCTTAGTCAAAATCTCTTTTGCATGATTTTCAGTTTAAAGTGGATTTGACCGGTTATGAGTTTTTACTGCAATATATACATATAAAAACTAAGGTGCCGTGTCAGGCTTAGTATCATGCTACATCTTTAGAATGAGGGTTGTGGAGGTTGTAGGTGGGTACCCTTTCCACCCTACAGCTCTTTTCTACAAAATGTTAATATAATGTTTAGAATTTACAAAATATAATTAAATTGCTAAATTAAAATATATATCTTCTATCTATAATATGAATAAAATTGAAGTGTCTGTCTGTAATATGGAACTGAGCTGAAGGGGTTATTTATATGCCATTATGAGATGAATGAACAGTTTTAACATTTTTGTCAGTCTGTCCAAACTAGTATTCAAAATCGCTGAAATGATTGTAATGAAAGTAAATTTTAACTGATTCTTTTTTGATTTTTGTTGATAAACCAAAAAATTGATAAAATAAATGGTCATTGATTATCTTAGATCTAAATAGCTCCACATTAATAGATCCTACCCAGGCGGAGCTGGAGTACTAATAATGAATAATAATAACTTTTTTTCATTTAATTTATGTGTTAGCTTATAGTATGATGTAATTGAAAGAGGCAAGACAAATGTATTTCTTATGGGCTATAAATTAAAGGTTTCGGTTCTCGATAAAAACATTTTCTCCATATTTTCATACAGAAAGCAACAAGCTTGACTTGTCTGCATTGTAGTACTACCATCCTAGAGGCTAGTTCAAATCCTGGAATTTGAACAGATTTTTTTTAAATAATTTATTTTGTTATCCTGCAATGCCATTAAATTTTTTGACTAATTATTTTGTTTGTGGAGTTACATTCTTCTAGCACTATGCATACTATTAAATCTAGAGGTCAAAGCTTAGTTAGAAAAATGTTTGATTACAGTATCTTAACAGAATTGTTTTATTGAAAATATAAAATAAAACCCATTCAATACTTTTTTGAATAATTAAAATAAAGGTTAAAGTATAGCCTATATTCCTCGCTCAAAGGGTAATTATAGCCATTCCGCGAGGAAATGCAGCCAGTATTCTTGGCACAATACCACGGGGAGTCGGACTATATGAAAATTTTAGTTTTTAGTTTTTTTATTATTGTTTTGTAATATTGTATATATTTCTATATTATTGTATTTGTATGTATTAAATATTATAACAAAATAAAAAATAAATATAAATGTATATTTATGTAGTATGCACATGGAATGGTATCTTAGAAACGGCTCTACAGATTTGGATGAAATTTTGAACTTTGAAATTTTTTACTTTACATGTTAATAAAAAAAAGTAAAGTTACAGCCTATATGTCCCACTCTGCTGCCACAATGCAAATTATATTATAAGATTTTTTTTTTTTATAGTATAGGGTGACAAACGAGCACACAGTCCACCTGATGGTAAGTGGCCACTGCGACCCATAGACATCTACATCTATCCTCAATAAAGACTCAAGATGCAGATGCGTTGTCACCCGTGAGGACTAAGATGGAATGTCTCTTTGCCAGTAAAAAGGGTCTCCGGTTCTCTACACTCACCATACGAAACACAGCAGTGTTAAGCTGCTATTTTATGCTGGTTTTCTGTGAGAGCGTGGTCCTTCCCCGGTCGAGCCGACCCATTCGTGCTACAACTATACCACTAATATAGCTGCAGCATGGCTCTACCACGTATGAAGATGTTCACACCTTCAAAATATTTTAAAATTTCTTAGACATGCAGGTATCTTCACTACGTTTTCTTTAACCGACAAGCATGATGTGTTAAATATGCATGGCAGTTGTTTTTTTCTATTTAACTACCTATATATAATATAATTTAACTTGTATGGAAAATTAGTTTCTTTGTCAACTTCAGAATGTGAAATGTGTTTAGTCATTTATGCGGCAGCTCAAAACCAAGGGAAAAGCTGATATTATATTTACTAAACAATGGAATTTATATCACTGTACCTTATGCCAGGGAGGAATTATTCCCCACATCATTGGTTTTATAATGCGAATGCAATCGCTTTGTGTGGTTCTATATTTACTAGATGAAATCAAAACAGGTGAGACATCTGTGGGTGCAATATTGTAAGAGGGTACATATTCTTTGCCATCGTTATGTTCGTGTAGCCATTCTGGTTTAACGTAAGAATCACCACGATTTTTATAACTACAAGCACATCGAATTAGTTCTTTGTCCAGTGATCTATAAACAAGGCAAAAATACTATATAAAAATATAAAAAGTATTAAATTACCAATATTAAATAGAAATACACGCACAATGCAGTACGTCCACACATAATTTGCAATTGTAAATTTCGTTTTATTCAAAGTACTATGTATTTTAAGCTCCGTGATTGTTAAAAACCATTAAAAAGTAAAAACTTAAAAACAGTTAAAAATATATTCCCGCGGCCGCGGTCAGCCGCGGTACGCGGCATTAATTTATTAATTAAAGTTTTGGCTTGGATACTTGTCTTTTAAGCCATGTTTTCATTTAAAAGACAGAAAGACTGAAAGAAACATTTATTGCAATTTATATGCCTTCTATTAACAAAATTACAAAAGAAGTTGGCACACAGGCAACGTTTGGAGAGCTGATAGATGCTGATATATTTATTTTAAAAGTCGCAACAAAACCCGAATATCTTTTCAAACGGATATATTGCATAAGATTGACTTCCATAATTAGCGCCCATCAGATGTAAGAAATGAAAATTTCGCTCGATTGATAGCGTTCGAGTTATGGCGGCTCTTCACGTTGGCCAACATAGTGGCGAATGTGTTGGCTAAGATATTGGCCAAGAAATTGGGATCGCGTACACACGTTGGAAGGTCGTTTAGTTTGCTTCGGTTCAGGCCAATGTGCGGACGAATTTATTAAAGTGATTATTGAAGCGCTAACGGCTGCTGCGGTTTATTTATTCACAGCATACCACTATTTTTTTATTTAATTTTCACTATTTTTAATATTTAATATTTTTAATATAAATTTTTAATATTTCTTTATTATACACTAACGTTATACAGATAAGTAAACTATATAAACATTAACACACCTAGGCATAGGTATAATTAACACTTTTACAACTAAGGCCTGGAAAATATTCGAAGCCTGTCTATGAAACTGTTGTAAAATTTTATTAAACAAAACCTTTTTAAAAAGGGTTATTTTTATTATATAATTATAGAATAAAACTTAATAATAATAATAAATAATTTATTTCGTCAAACATTAAAGTTACATTATACGATCAGTGATCGAGGTCACCTAGTAAGCAAAATAATGCCTGTAACAGGTGACTTCGCTCTGCCATAGTTAAAATTACAGTATTATTAACGAAATAAAGTAACTAATAGGGAATAATAAAGACAGTAAAAACATGATTTTAGTATCCTACTTTTTAATTTGATTTTAATATATATTATATATTATAGATTTTAAGATATTTAATAAATCAATTAATATATCAATAAATAAATTAATACATCAATCACTACAACGTGAATGTGTATAAGATAAGGGTGATCAAAAAGAAATGGAAAAAAGAAATTTTATTTCTTGACGGCTCCAGTCAAGGCAGGGGCAGCTGCGGGCCGTAACAATTTGATTATTATTAATTTCACAAATCTATAAAAATAAACATATTTCGTATTTGTTCATTACCGTTTCTTTTTGGTAATTTTCCCGTCTCTATCCTTTTCATTTCCGTATAAGCCTAGTTCATTACCAGTAATATGAGAAAATTAAAAAAGTTGATTATCTAACCGAAAAACGAAACTATATTATTGAGCGTAGGATCAATTTTTTTTTAATTTTGCTTCCTTGTTATACCTTAAATTAAGATGACACCCATAATAACGCATGTTTTGAAGAACTACCCAAACTACATATTATAATATAATATGTAGCTTGGGTAGTTCTTCAAAATATGAATTATTATATAATATATAATATAACTGGCGTGCGCCGAATTGTATACTGACCATAGACTTAGAATATACTGGCGTATTAGACGAGCTGACAGCCGGAAAATGTGTAAAGGTAGCTGTACACAATGGCTGAACGCATACGCCGAGTGCTTTCCGTCAACGTGTTCTGGGCCGTTTTGTGTGCTTGGCGTATGCGGCCAACACTCGCCGACAAGCCGTATAATGTCGATTTTCCATGCACATATCAAAGAAATTTGGCGCAAGCCGCAAATAGCGATCACACGTTGGCCGAGTCTTGAGTTCATAGTTTCGCGTCAGAGTAGACTAGTGTCGGCTTAATAAAATTGTTTCACGAACATGGCTACATGGACTAATGAGGAAATATTAAGGTTCATTGTTTCATTCTGCGTTGGTAGCTAAATGATGATGGACGTTAGGGTGATCGCGGCCTTATTTTTATGTTGCTCATGTTTGGGGTTCCATATAACTGATTCATTGTGATAAGAAACACGCCAACATGTGAACGGCACCACGAAAATCTGCCGAGCGGGCTCGCCAAGCGCGCTCGTCCAACGTGTACTGGAGCCTTAACCAATTTTGATTTGACAATGTGTGCGTTAGCTAGTGATGTACATTTTACTTACAAGGACTATCGAAAAATGATTGTTAAAAAATATTCAAATAAGTTGCACCTACCTGCCTTTTGTTGGATTTTAATTCCAAATGTATAAAACACCAATAATCTCTGTGTACAAACTGGTTAAATAAAAAAGGTGGACCCGGAGTACGTAAGGGCTGCTTTATTTTTCATATAAGTATTACTTTTAATAACATTTAATAATTTTTACTCACATTTTAATAATTAATAATCAAATACATTGTAGTAGTTTATTTTAACATTCGACTTAAAATATGAATGTAAACTTAATAATTTAAGTAAGGAAACTTGTAGTAATCATTTAAACATGATTTCTATTTAAAGGCCAATATGTTTATGAGGCTACCTACTCTCTCTTTCACCTGTCCCTGAAAAATATTACATAATAACAAACTTATTATCATTTTAGGTCCATGAATTTCAAAAACAATGATCTTAGCAAAAAACAGCTAAATACACAGAAGATAGTAAAATTAAAAATTTTGTACAATCGACTTCAATATAAATATAATTTATTGTTGATTTATTAAAACCGCTTGACCGATTTCGATAAAATTTAAATGGAAATACCTGGAAAGTATACCCTTTGAAACAAGAAAAGAATTTTCTATTACGGTTCAGACGTCTCCGAGTAATCGGTGAACATACAAAAAAAAGTTTCCGACGAATTGAGAACTTCCTCCTTATTGAATTTGGTTGAAAAGAAATAAATCAAACCACAGATATTCATAAAAATAGAATAGAAATTGCTAAACTTTTATTTAAAACTAACTTCTCAATTAAATTACATTTTGTAACAAAATTGTTAAATTAAAAATTAAATTTGCTCATGGAGCTTTTCAAGGTGAGGTCACCACTTGGTTCATCTGTTACTAAGCGCGAGTCTGAGCCCAGCGTGCGCGAGGAGAGGCCATTGCGGTTATTTACAACCAGCCAAGTAAAGACTGTAATAAAAGGGATGAGCGTAGGAAAGTCTCCAGGTCACGACGGGCTTAGTATCGAGCACCTGCGATATGCGGGGGTGCATTTACCGAGGGTCCTGTCCCTGTTTTTCAATATGTGAATCAGCCACTCGTACTTACCAGCTGATCTAATGAAAACTACTGTCGTGTCCACAGTGAAGAACGGGACAGGATATATCTCGGAGAAGGGAAACTATCGCCTAATCTCTCTCGCTACTACGATAGCTAAGATATTGGATAGCCTGATTGACTCTTCGACTCGACTGGGCAACGTTCGCGAAATTACGACACACCTTCTCGTCAGGTATACCTTAAAACCTGAAAACTAGATTGTACAACTTATGGATCTGAGACGTGGACCTTCACTGCTGGCCGTATGAGGACGCTCAAGGTCGCTCAGCAAGCCATATAGCTCGAAAACCCGACAACCGATGGGGTAAAAAGGTTCTCCAGTGGCAGCCTCGTACCGGTAGACGAAGTGTAGGGCGACGCCCCACTAGATGGAGTGACTACCTGGTAAGACATGCAGGCTGTCGATGGATGCAGGTGGCTCAGGACCGTGCTTTGTGGCATTCCTTGGGGGAGCCTATGTTCAGCAGTGGACGTGTGAAGGCCTGTAATGATGATGATGATGATGATGATTGACTTTTGCTTACAAAATTACTTCAACCTATATGATGTGTGCAGTTTGGATTCCGACCCGGACTATCGACTGAAAGTGCAATTTTGAGCCTCAAGAATACTGTCCAATACTACACAGACCGGAAGACCAAAGAAAAAACTAAGAAAAAAGAAAGAGTTAAGTAAGATTTTTGACAACCCTTACACATATTTTCAAGTTAGTATGAAAAATTGAAAAATGGGAGGACAATCTTAAACTTTGCTAATTGCGACATAATTAAAGAAGCAAATCATAACTGTCGGTGTTGTGTATTATGAGGTAAATTTACCTTCAGCTCTGAAATCAAATCCTATTATTTTCATTATAAGGCCTGACGGCAAAGTTGACTCAAAGTAAGTTTAACTTTGCCATTTTTTATTTTTGAGTGTTTTGTCTATTTAATGTTACTATTTGTTTAAATCATTAATAAATACCAAATCTATGTAGAATACAATGTCACATTTAACATTGACGTACATACATTTTTTTTTGGAAAGTTGGTCTTAAACTTTAAGTTTTAAGTACTTCCAAAAATGGCAAAGTTGCCACGTTTCACGGTACATTTTTGATTACATATGTACTTCAAACTTCATATTTTATATCGATGTATCGAACTAATAGATATCGCTAAAAATATCGATGTATTAAATATCGTCGATACTATCGATATTTTTCTACAATCTACAAGTTAAGTCTAAAGAGTTTTGGCGGGAACTTGAACGGCGGAGGATTGCTGCTCTTGTATTATTTTCTTTAACAGTTAAAATATTATAACTAAGAAATAAAATAATTTTTTATTATATTTATATTTTATAAGAGTAATTGTGGTCATAATCTCGGAGTTCAAGCGGCCGAACTCCAGGATTTCCTGTTGTGAAAGATGTAGCCCCTAATAGCCTGTTTAGACTCTCGCCTCGCGGCTCGCCTCGTACCTCAACTCGCAGCTCGCGTGTTATTGCGAGGTAACGAGTGCCTGTTTACACTCTCGCGATGCGTTCAGTTTGCGTTGAGCCAGCAACGATGGAAGACGTCGAAATAATAGCGGCATCAACTCTTGCCTTAATAAGTATTTATCGATGCTTGACC